TAATGTTTAATAAAAATCTCCACAGATGGAGCCAAAAGACAAAAAGTTTTGTGAAATTAGTGTTCTTAAATCAAAAAATAAATAAACGTATTACATTAGAATATATATATATATATAAAGTTTTTAAAAATCTCTGTCTTCGGGGATTTTAGAATTTAGTGATTATTATATTTTTGGTAGAAAATCCTTAACCTTTCACGCATGCTCACATAGTAATTGAGTTCAATGTTTATACAACGCACAACAATCACACACACAAGAGACAATGTAAAATTGTCGTTAACAACGCCCTGTTTCTTCGTTACACATCGGCAAACGTTTCAAAATAAAGAAACTGTTCTAGCTCGGACTGAACGTGCCTGACGCGTGCTTTGTACGCTTACTTACGTCCGGTGACGGGGTGCAGTAAGGTAGGATAAGTAGTTGCTGCAGGAGGAGACTGTTGTTTTGGTTTGCTAACCTTGGTATTACTCTTCGCAAACTCAAGACGGATCGTCTGAGGAAGGTCAGGATCGAAGCGAATCCCTTGCTGTCAGGAAAAAAAACAAACTCAATTTTATCTTTCACATATTTGTATAAAGTTGAGGGGGATAAAAGTATTGAGAACGTAGTGACTTAAGAAGCAAATCCATGAAAAATACAAGTGTTCAGACCGCGTACAGATTCAAACAGTGGTCACTTTATATGCATTACAAAGTAACTGTAGAATTATCCAGAAAAACATTCCATTGACACATCAGTAACAAATCTACCTGACTTTCATTATTTGAAGATCTGATGGTACCTGTAATTGCTTTCAAGAACTTCGATTTTCTTACCTGGAGGTCCTGTTTTGCCGCCTCAGCCCCTGCCCTTGTTGTAAACGTTACAAACCCAACTGGCTATAAAGAAAAAATAAAAACATTAGATAGATAAGGACAGAGAAAGATAAACAACAGATAAATAGATAAAAAGATACAGATTGATAAAGAAAGGGAAAAACATAAATAGATAGACAGAAAGATACAGATAAGTGAAGAAAGCAAAACAACAGATAAATAGATAAAAAGATACAGATTGATAAAGAAAGGGAAAAAACATAAATAGATGGACAGAAAGATACAGATAAGTGAAGAAAGAAAAACAACAGATATATAGATAAAAAGATATATATATATAAGCATTTAGAGAAAGACAAATACAGATAGACAGACAGAAAGATACATATAAACAGATATAGAAACGGATAAGACAGATAGGTAGAGAGATACATATAAACAGATATAGAAACGGATAAGACAGATAGGTAGAGAGATACATATAAACAGATATAGAAAAGGATACAGATAGGTAAAGACAGAGAAGGAGATAGACAGAATGTAACTTAATTATGTTTTAATGAAGCAAGTAAATTGTTCCATACTCACCGAAGATGTCTTTCCATTCTTACTGGTAATCTTCAGGAGAGATCCTTCGTACCCCTTTCAACAGAAAGTTAAATCTGTTTTAAAAACTCGTGTAATATTTGTTTTACAATTATGTCTCCACTGTGTGCAATGTTGTAGCTCAAAAGGTAAAAAAAAGACAAACAATTTAACGTTTTAACAACAAAGACAGAAAATAAACCACTTAATCGCACCTATTTAAACCTCCTTAAATATAACTTATCATTTTAGTGTTGTTGGTTTTTCAGGCTTTATGACAGTAGGCCTACTTACCTTACGAGTTACCGAGTTGAGATTTTGGTGAATTAAACGAAACTACTAATCAACTTAATAAACAAAGAATTTAAGAACTTTAAACATGATAACAATACAAATGCTTTTATTTTCAATAAATATTATACATCTGTATAAATATAACGAATTTAATCTACTTTCTAGTTAATTATATAAAAGTATTTAGCCTAACCTTACCTTGTACGCTCGAAATAGAAGATACAGTTCTCGTGGTTTCGCGTCCATGGGGAGACCACTGACAAATAGCGTGCGAACCTAGTGACAGAAAAAAGAAACCTTTCAGAACTACTGTTAAACTAGTTACCACCAAATCAAGCATAATGAAGTTGAGTAAATGAGGCATTATGGAGCATATTCATTTTAAAACATCTTAAAATAGCATTGCGTTGCTATAAGCATAATTAATAACAAGTGAAAAACTTTGTTTTGTGTTTATAAAACATATTGTTGAATAGAAACTTTCGCCATCTTGAAAACTCTAACACCAATTATCTGATCATCTCACTGTGAGCTGCAAGATAATATATGATCATTTAGTTAAGCTGATCACGATCAAAGCTCTATTTTCTGTAATTATACCCGAATTGTACTCTTATTATAAAATTAATTTGGAGTTCGTGAGGAGAAAGACGTTTTTATAGGAGCGACCGGAAATTTTATAGGAGCTATCGGAAATTTTATAGGAGCTACCGGAAATTTTATAGGAGCGACCGGAAATTTTATAGGAGCTACCGGAAATTTTATAGGAGCGACCGGAAATTTTAAATCGACTACATTTAGAAAGATTGTAGAGCCAAGATGACTCAATTTTTTTGAAATTCCGTACCTCGTACATAAATAAATGAATTTATTGTTTTTGGAAAAGAAAAATACTTGTCTGAAAGTTCACCCTTCCCTAATGTTACCGTAAAACTTTGGACGAGTATGGAGAATCAGTCCTAAGTTGTTCTAAACCGAATGTTCAAAACCTGTTTGAAAGTTCACCCTTCCCTAATGTTACCGTAAAACTTTGGACGAGTATGGAGAATCAGTTCTAAGTTGTTCTAAACCGAATGTTCAAAACCTGTTTGAAAGTTCACCCTTCCCTAATGTTACCGTAAAACTTTGGACTAGTATGGAGAATCAGTCCTAAGTTGCTCTAAACCGAATGTTCAGCTGAATTGCGATCTTACTGTAGAGCTTTATGATATTTCTGGGAAAATTTTCTATCAGTGTTTCTCTACATGTTGAGCCACAACGTCCATGTCTAGATACGCTTTTCACCGGATATTTTTTGTATCTTTGTTTTAGAGTTTGTTCGTATACGGAAGTAAATCTATTGATTTTTAATAATTCTTGTTCTAACACTAACTCAATTATTTGTTACTTGGAGCGCCACTTAAGGTATAAGAATATCACGAACAAAATGTAGAAAAAGAATAAAAAAGTTGATGAGTTTTCAACAAAGACGGTTGCCACGACAACTGTACTGCGAGGAACGCTAAGGCCTTAATTTGCAAGTAGCACATGAAATATTCAGCAAAACATTTATATGTATATATATATGTATGTGTGTATAACAGCTTTTACACTCCAACTTACAATACAAAAGTACAGTTTGTTTTATTAGGTTTTATAACGAAAATTCCATCTAATCCCAATAGAGATTGAAATTACAGATTTGGTGAATGATATCCGAAGGCTTAGATAAGCCTAATATGCGTATCTTGTATAGAAAATAAAAACAAGAAAAATGACGAGCTAAGTCGATGACTCAGTAACTTCGATAAATCTGCTCTGAATGAAAAAATCAGTTGTTATTTTTTATTTAAATTACAAGAACTATTTAATAATGTTAAAAATACAGGTGTTAATTTTAAAAATAAAAATGAGTTTTGTAACATGTTAATGTTTGCAAGAAAGGTTTTAACTTTTTTATGTGAAGTCAATAAACATGTATGAAGCCGTTCTTGATATTAAGTTAATGATTCAAAGCAGACTGGCATCTGTAGAAATTAGTTTTGACTTTACTTCATTTTAGGGTTAGCTCCAAAAATTACATATAAAATTTCCCCCCCTTTTTTTTTTTACTTTTCTATGTTAAAACGAAACTAAGCTTACAAACTAGCTCCAAAAATTACATATAAAATTTTCCTTTTTTTTTCTTTCTACTTTTCTATGTTAAAACGAAACTAAGCTTACAAACTAGCTCCAAAAGTTACATACAAAGTTTTCTTTTTTTTTTACTTTTCTATGTTAAAACGAAACTAAGCTTACAAACTAGTTCCAAAAATTAAATACAAAATTTTACCTTTTTTTATTTTACTTATCTATGTTAAAACGAAACTAAGCTTACAAACTAGCTCCAAAAATTAAATACAAAATTTTCCTTTCTTTTTTTTTAATTATCTATGTTAAAACAAAACAAAGCTTACAAACTAGCTCCAAAAATTACATACAAAATTTTCCTTTTTTTTTTTTTTACTTTTCTATGTTAAAACGAAACTAAGCTTACAAACTAGCTCCAAAAATTACATACAAAATTTTCCTTTTTTTTTTTACTTTTCTATGTTAAAACGAAACTAAGCTTACAAACTAGCTCCAAAAATTACATACAAAATTTTCCTTTTTTTTTTTTTTACTTTCCTATGTTAAAACGAAACTAAGCTTACAAACTAGCTCCAAAAATTACATACAAAATTTTCCTTTTTTTGTTTTTACTTTTCTATGTTAAAACGAAACTAAGCTTACAAACTAAATGTGAGTTGATTACCTGTGGAATCGGTCTTTTATTTGTTTAGCTTTTTCACTCAAAACGTGTAAGTGAAAATTCACTGATCTAGATATTGGAACGTTTTGATTCCTATTTTTAGTTTTAGTGTTTCTATGAAAAGTCTAAGTACCTGGTATAGAAGGGGTTTTCCCTTACGAAACCGTTTGTATTGCCCCACCCCTATGAACGTCACAGCTTTGTCCTATCACGATTCAGAGACATTAGACAGGATTTATTGTCGAAGTTGACATGTTACCTGAATTTCCCAGAAAGAAATTGAGAAGAAAAATACAGGTAGAGAGAGAAACCGGAGATGTCGGAAGTTTAGTTGTAAACATGGATTCCAAAAGCTAGATTAATTTTCGCCCCCCCCCCCCAGTGGCACTGCGGTATTTCTGCGGACTTACAACGCTAGAAACCGGGTTTCGATACCCGTGGTGGACAGAGCACAGATAGCCCATTGTGTGGCTTTGTGCTTAATTACAAACCAAACAAACCCCAGTGGCACAGCGTTATTTCTGCGGATTTACAACGCTAGAAACCGGGTTTCGATACCCGTGGTGGACAGAGCACAGATAGCCCATTGTGTGGCTTTGTGCTTAACTTCCAAACAACAACAACAAATTCATTTTCAATTTGCCCTTTCTTTTCTTTTTTTTAGCGGTTCAGTAAAATTCGTAACAGTGAATTATTCAATTTATTGATTAAACTTAATGACATATTTCTAAGAAGAATGTATCCTTGAAAACTGAAAGAAAACTTATGAAATTGAGAGAAAATAAAAAAATCACATGTATCTATTAGTGGCTTCCGAGAATGGCAAAGATCGATGAAGTTTGTTTATTTCGGTAACCTAGTAACGTCACATACACAAACAAATGTATACCTTATTTCCGGCATAATGCAATCGTTGTTTGGAATTACAAAAGCACGCTACTGTATTATTGTATTCTAAAATATCAATTAGTTCGTACTTTTCCGAAACTATACATAACACCAAATATTGTGTTAGTGAGTTCGTTCGTGCGTTCTGAAATCATACATCATAACTTATATTAGTCCCTTCTAAAACCGTATATAACACCTAGTTCATGTCAGTTCCTTCTAAAACCGTATATAACACCTAGTTCATGTCAGGTCTTTCTAAAACCATATATAACACCTAGTTCATGTCAGTTCCTTCTAAAACCATATATAACACCTAGTTCATGTCAGTTCCTTCTAAAACCGTGTATAACACTACAGAAAGTTTTGGGGTGGATCGTAGTAAAGACATTGATGGGTAACAAAAAGTGTCGCGGTGTGTCGCATAAAATAACTATATTCCAGTGTCGTTGAAAACAAAATACAAGACGACCCCCCCCCCCTTATTCTCCCATGGGTTCTAGAAAATTATTGGATAGTCAGATTAGTGGGTTGGGAGGTAGGATGGTTTGGGGATCCCCTGAGATACGTCGTGATTTCATTTTATATACAATTCCCTTTTTTTCCTCTCGGAGTGTAAAAACTATAAACTTATCACTGAATGAGACATATCAATACTAATTACAAATAATATAATCACCTTATTGGAGTAGGTAAGTGTACATCATCTCTTCGGGTTTGTGGGTAATGATGTTCAAGATATATTTACTGGTTGATCATCTTTCAGATTGCTGCCCCACCCCCACACACATTACTCTACTCAGTTTAAACGATCTCTCTGCAGACTACTTGTCCCCTCCCCCATGGTTCAGCGGCAAACTTGAGGGTTTAGAACGCTAAAGTTCGTGTTTTGATTCCTGTGGTGCAAACAGATCAGATATCCCATTGTGCAGCTTTGTGATTAAACAGACCGGTCAGACAAAAGTGAAAATGGTTGGGAAATTGGCGAAAGAACGAGAGCAGCTGAGCATCAGAGCATATTGTTGTAGTTTGGTTTTATTTGGTTTTGTGTCATTTTAGACTGTGATGTCATATACCGTCGTGGAAATGGCATTACTTGCGTAAAGAAACTTTACGAAATAGAGTAGTTATTAATATAACTGCTACATACGAGTAATAGAATGTAGAAGAATGAAACGGAAAGTTACTGAAATTCCTGTTGACACATAAAGAAATAACGCCCGTCAAGATTCCTAAAGCGTAGATTAAAAATACGCCAGAAAACAGAAGAATGCGCATTAGGCGTATTCCTGGTCTTACTTAAGAATAACTTGAACTTCTGGTGTTCTTTATTATACTGATAACGTATGGAATGTGTCCTTAAATATCACACAAGAACATTAATAAAGTCATTTTTATATAAACCACTGGCTTCCTTTTGCAAGTCATTCTGGAGATCTGAGAAAAAAAAAATGTTCTTAATAGCATGGTTAAATTTTTTTGACTTTATAATGGCTCAATTATATAAATGTATAGAAGATTATAGTTATACATACGTCGGGCTCTTGTTGCAGGTTAAATGGTCAATGACGCCAACAGTGGTGAGAGAGAAGTTATGGAACCTAATTATACT